ACATACATTGCAAAAAATCCAAATGACAGTTACTGTTGTGGTGAATTTTTAATAAATTACTAAGTGAAAATATCAAATCTGTAAGGGCAATTTGCAATGACACCACAGTGCCATTTACGTTATCCTAATGAATTCTCAACTTCCCAGGTATATGTATAAATAACCATCCGAAGAATTTTGCAAAGATATCGTCGTTTCGGATAAAATTCCAGCTGAATGATTAATCTAAAATCCCAACACAAACTGAGACAGATCATTGAGACTAATGGCAATTCATTGACAGTTGTTCAGATTGAATATATGAAGCTGCACGCTAAATGCCATCATCCATAGAGACAGACTTACATTTATAATCAGCAGAGCATCTCCAGGCTTCACTATGTGTTGGTGAGGCAATTGTGAAGAAGATTATGGTTTCACAATGTAGGAAATATGTCAATAGTAAGCAATTTAAATAATCCACACTGAAGTTATGCCCTCTCCTAAACAGCCTGCATATGGCCCCAGACTCCTAAACAAATTCTCCCCAACATCCTGTCTTCACTTTCTTCTAAGCTTTGACTAGCCTGCCACCCAAGTTTCAAGCAACATTATGCTGGTATTGATGAACAGGCAACATAACCAAACATAAGCCTCTATAGACATAATGTTAGCTAATAGCAGATGCTATTCGACAGAAGAGGACGTTGACAGAGGATGCTAAGAAGAGAAAAACAGAGTGACCCAGCAAGAGGCTCCTGGATGTTGGCAAAATACTGGTGGTATTCTGCTAATTTTCAGGTTCAAAATCCTATTTAGGGGTTGTACCAGAACAGGTTACATGGTTTCATTTTCAAAAACATATTTTTGTCATACTGCACATTGCTGCAGCTCCTCTTTCCACCCTGTGTTGAATGCTTTGTTTTAGCTATGGAGTGATACATCTTGTCTCTAAATGATCTTTGTTGGGAGTTGCACATGCTCAGTTCAGGACTACTAGCCAATCAGAAGCAGAGAAGGGCGGGTCAGTGAGAAGCCGGTAAACAGCTTCAATTCAGCTGTAGGCTACGTGTTGCCGACCAGCTTGACAACATCCATAAAGTTTTAACCGAGCTCTGTCTCTACATCACAGTAACAACGTTCTGTCCACTGACTACCTGGAGAGTAGCTAGTGTTTGGAAGGGAGAGGAGGTGTGTGCTGTTTTTTTGTGGGAGATGGGAACTCCCTTTGGGCTGGACTTTGGGCTTTTACACTTTGCAAACCTAGTACATGCACAAAAAAGGTATATAACTCAATAAAGGAGAGGGAAACGGCCAAAAAGCAGAATACCTCTTTAACATAATATAAGCCCCTGATGATCTCCTAATGGTGATCTTGTGGTTAAAGATATCTTAGTTTTGAACTGTGGTGATCCCTGTGACCACACAAATCAAAGTGCTCTTTGGCAAGACACTCAAAGCCTGCAGGCATGTGCATCTGCTACCTCCTGCGCTGTGACCTGACCTGCTTGCTACATTGCATATGTATGTGCATGACTTAAGGAAAACTTGTTAATGGATTGTAGCACCCATAGCAGTGGCTACTACACAAACACTCTCACACAGATGGCAAAGCCATCTGAAGCATTTTGGGGTTCAGTATCTTGCCCAAGGATGCTTGGACATGATGATGACCAAAACCTTCTGATTACTGGACGATCCACTCTACTTCCTCTACCAGCAGCCCCTGTAACTGCTTAGAAATTGCAGGAATTTGATATTCAAGTAAAAGCCCTAGATGTCATTATGACTTGGCTCTTGAGAAGTGTCTTTAGTGGTAGTCTTCTGCTGAAGATACAGCGACTCTTGATCGTCATCTAATTGAAAATGACAGACCCTTGTCTCATCCAAGCAATCCTTGGTTTGCTGATCCACCACAATCAAAACCAGCAGCATGTGGTCTGAAAACATAAACATATGTTTTGCATGTTTTACTGTGTCTAAGCATAATGGGAATCAACGGTTTTGGAATGCTTGGCAGGAGAACTACATAGCACCAAAATGGTCTGATGTTGGGTAAAAGGCTTATCATTACAGAGCTACTTACTGTTAGTAATTATTGTTTCATTGCCCATGGCCCCTGGTGTCCGCACATCTGTTGACCAACTGTTTAAAGAAAATTCTGTTGACTATGTGGATGTTGATACGTATCACAATGGATTACTTATGCTCCTGTCAGCAGTTTTGAGAGGTGTTTTGTTTGTAAGAACGATACTCAGCAGTGTCGGGCAGTAACACGTTACTGTAATATTACTTTCCCAGTAACTAGAAGCGTAACGGATTACTTTTCCAAAACAGTAATATTATCACAGTTACTAATCCAAGTAACGCTGTTACTGAACGCACCATTCTTGACGTGAATGCGCGACTGCGCTGCAGGTCGGCGGCACCGATCATATGTTGTTCAAGTCAGCTGTTAGCCAAGAAGCTAAAGGAAGAATGGAGAACAAGGAAGAGAGGCGTTCTTTCCTCAGCTGTAAGTATTGCCGTCATTGTGTCACAGTCTAAGATACAAAGAACATTGTAGTCCATTGTAGACCAGCAAAAACCTTTCAACTGTGAACAATTCTGCATTTAATTTATTGAAACCCCTGCTAAAGCAGCACAGCAATGTGACACATAGAAAGAAACTCCGGCTGGTACTGCCAGAAATGTTTGGACTTATCGGGAGAGATGGCGTAAAGCAACGTTTTATGTTTTGTAAAAATACTGAAAACTGTGTAGAAAAACAGAAGTTCAAAGTCAGGATTTACGGTGGTGTTAAGAAACGTTATGTTTTGTAAAAACTCCTTGCTGCTGTTATGAATATGATATTAGTCGGGAGAGACTGCTTTGTTTGGAGGAAGGGGGGGGTGGGAGTGAAAGTAATATAGAAACTGTAACTAGTTACTTGTGTCACCCAGTAATAAGTAAAGTAATATTATTACTTATTTAAAGGGTAATAAGAAACTAGTAACTTGCCCAACACTGATACTCAGGAACAAAAGGGCTGAGCTTTTTTTAGATAGACTTTGAACTAACATGTAGTTTCTTCTCCGTCTCAATTAAAGGTGTTGTGTGAAGATCTGATCTGCTGTCTATATTCATGGTTGCCAATAAAAACAATGATCACAGGACTTTTCACAATGCTTACAGCTCACATAAGGGTGTAGTTGGCAATCAGGGGGATTTTAACAGAGTTCAATCTTATAAAACAAAATGACACTATCCTCTGAAGTAAACTTGTTAAAACAAAAAATTGTGAACATTGCTACCCCTTACTACTTCAGTAAGTTCAATAAAAAAAAAAGTTAACTTGCTTAAAGAACAGTTTCTTTTTCAATCAGTTCATTAATTATAAATAAAAGAAAGCTTAAGTCAATTAATAGCAATGTAGTTTTAAAATACAGGTGGTGTTGGTTAAATTGTTGTCATTATTGTGTTGTTTGGCATCATGTGGCAGAGAAAATTGAAAGCTTAAGAAATCCAAACTTGTTTCTCCCTCATGAAGATAGGGTTGGCTTCTTATGAGCAGCACTTTATTCTACATGGATCACCTGCATCCGATTTGTAGCATTAACCGCACCTCACTCTGCCCAGCCTCTCCATGAGGACATTATGGCAACTCTGCACATCATTTTTGCCAAAACATCTTAACATCTGCTATTCCCCATTAACCTCGCCTAACATAGTGGATGAGGAACACACTCCCCTCCCTTTCCTTGAGCAAGGCATTTAGCCCCTAATTGCTCCAGTGGAGCAATGAATAAGGAAATGAGATTCAAGAAAGAGAGCACACATCTGTTTTCACTCTGAGTTGTTCACTTATGCCTTATGTGCTGGTGCGCAGGAATAACACAACCATCAATTAGACAGGGTAGACCAGCACTATATATATATATATATATATGATGAAATGATTAACGGTAAACCAATGGTAAAATTCCCAAAGGTTATTATTACCGTACACATTTTAATTTCCATGATAACCAGGTACGGTTAACCGCGCTATTATAATCTCACGGCAAACACTGTCCAGCGTCTCCCAGAAGCAGGCGTGCATGCGCAGAATGCAACGTGCGTTTGTTTGGGTTGATGACAACACGGCGGAAGACAACGCTACAGAGATTTTTCAGTCACTCTGAAGTCCGGTCGTATTTTTGTTTTTATGATAGTGCTGAGGGAAACCTGATTGAAGAAAATGACCTTATAGTGAACGCAGGGTGAGTTAACTTTTAGCTTTGGTTTGTCTCTCTGACTTGCTAACAGTGAGTAAACTGAAGCTCTCAGTGTTAACTGCTCTTGTAAAAACGCTATTCTGCTGCTGTGCGCGTCGTGTGTCTGCAGATTCTATTCGTCCACTGCACATGAGAACACGTTACGCTACAGACTCCTCTGTATTTATGTCAGTTGTTGGGCTCATTGCAGTAACTATCACTGTATTCTATAGACTTATTTGTTTTCATGTAATTGTCCACGGGGTCATTGTATTACATATATAATATAAAATCTTGATAATGCACACTTAGGTGATTTTCATATGTTTACAAAAGGTATTTGCTGTTTTATTTTTTATGCAAACAAAATGGCAATTGTATTTGTAGTTTTCAAAATAAAACTTGTTGAAATGGTTTGAGTGTGTGTATCAGTACATTTTAATCTTTTTCGGCACATTTTTACAATACCGTGATAATACTGATAACCGTGATAATTGTGGTCACTATAATCGTGATATGAAATTTTCATACCGTTTCATCCCTAGTGTATATATATATGTGTGTGTGTGTGTGTGTGTGTGGCATGTTCGTGAAAGTCAATAGGTACTGAGTTCAATGTTACATTGCTGTTACATGATTCACTTGCTGAACTTGCTGGTAGCAGATTAAAATGAAATAGCAGTTTTATAGAAAGTCACTCAGACACTTGCTCAAAAATCTTATCAATGCCAGTATTATTTAATTGTATAGTAGTAGTAGCTGCAACAGTAGTATTTGTATATTTACCTTGGACGAGAATGTGCACTGAGGTGGTTCTTGGTCGACTGCTTGTCTGGACTGCGCACACATACTGCCCCTCATCTGTCATGTCCACACGTTCAATCTTGATGGTAAACTCCTCTTGATTAAGGGTCACCAGACTCACTCTGGGATCCACAGACCATTTGTCTTCTCCGGCATACAGTATACTTGACCGGTTTAGCCATGCTGTGTGTGTGACAACGTCCCCCTGTGCACACCTGTGAAGCGATAAAAAATTAGTTGCATGGGATAAGTATTTTACTGAAGTACTCATATAATCACCAAACATGTAACCTTTATCTCCAGAATTCGTGCTTGACATAATGTGCACAATCAAGCCAAGTAAACAATTCAAATGCCATATTTCTCAAACACAACAATTACTCATCTCCCTTACAGTACATAAGGATTTTTATTCATTGCTGAATTCTGAATTGTTTTTCTGTCTGGCTAGGGTGGACAATCATCACGCTGATTAGCAAACCTTTAACCAGAGAGGAGGAAGGAATCAGTGAAACCAGCTGATGTAATGTTACAGACTGCAGACTCTGGGTTGTCCACTGCACAAAGCATTCACCCCTGCAGGAAAGGCTCCCTGATACTCTGAAAGCTCAGACTGTACAGTAAGAGAGTGAATAGGGCACGGGCCAGCTGAATGTGTAATGGGTTATTCTGAGTTAGCATTCTCTGCATAAAACAGCTATAATAAACCAGATATGTTTGTTAAAACTGAAATGCATTTCCCATAATCCTTTTTAAAAAAAAATCAATTTCCAACACCCGAGGACACTATCAGACACCACCAAATCATCTTTATTACAATACTGTGAATTTTGCAAAGTAATACAGGACGTTATACAATATTAGCAGCATAATTGTAGTTACTCAGTTCCCCTATAAAAAGAATAATATTCTGATCTACTACATCAAATGGAAATATTAATAGCATTTGAGCTATTAGCAATTATGTTAAAGGCTTGCATGGAATATTGACAATTTCTCAATAAACATTGTAACTAGACTGCTTTTGTCAATCTGCCCACACACTAGGCTCGTGACATTCAAAAGTAATTGAGACAATGAGCCTAAAACTGCACTGCTGAGCTCGGTTGCAATCACAACAGATTGGTTTCACTATTCACAAAATGCTGCTTTGATGCAGGAGCTGGGTCACTGATCTTTGACTGGTCCCACAGAGCAACACATCTGCTGTATTTTCATGACAAATCTTTGGATGCTGCTGAGAAGGAATGGACAGGGCTACAGGAAAAAGGGTCTTATTTACGAGACAGTGTGCCAATGTAAGAAGAAATCCATACTTTGTACAAATGTTGTGCTTTTGGCTGCTGTTTATCATCCAGGTTTATTTAACTTTCAGTAGCCTAATTTTGCGATGTACAGAATAACAGGGCATTTAAACATTAACAGTTTAGGATGGTGGCAATGTAACAGGAGCTCAACACTTAACAGCTGAAAGACTCAGCTCCATTTACGCTGTCAGAGCTTCTGTTACAGCATTAGTCACTTCCACTTCAGTGGCGGCAGTAGGGTCAATGGCATCCTTGGGGCATTTGTGGTGTTAGGGTGGGGAAATAAGACTGGTATGTGTGTGCGCGCGTGTGTGTGTGTGTATGTCAATATACAGGAGCAATGGCTTTCAAAAATAATGGATCACAGTGTATGTGAGATGGTGAAGGATCAATTTACTATGACGAAGTGGATTCAAAGTAGGTTTTTCATTTCTAATGGCTACAGTAAATTAATTTCTCTGTGCTGCAAATGTATTTTGCACTGTAAAACATTCTCCTTTATAAATAACACCAAACGCAGCAGGGTTTGAACTGTAAAATGAACATAATACATCTAGTATGCCTGAGAAAAGAATGATGTGAGAATTTGAAAAGTAACTTAACAGCCCCTGAAAAGGGGCTCCGCTGACATCCAGAGGTATAACTTCTATCCTTGCTGCAGGATTTTTATAGACTTAACAATTAGACTAACTATTAACAATGTAGGCACAAAAATGCAACATATATAAAGATACAGACACAAACAACATTTCATTTCCCAGGGGTACAACACGCTGCAGGTATAGGTAGACTTTAGGAGCAAATGACATCACTGCTGGGTGTGGTTAAAGGTTCAACAGAGCACACTTCTGACTCCACCGGTAAACCAGAGAGGGCAGCAAAAACATTGCTTTTCAGTTGGTGTTAAGTTACTCTTTAAGGTTTCCAGCAGACATACAAGGACATATGATTGCATGTGCATGGCTGCTCACTCAAGTGTAAAACCTGATAGCTGAAACTTTTCTTGGAGGAGGTCCAACAAACAATGTCTTTGGAGAGTGGCATACTATCAACCTCAATGTCCTTGTTAGGGCATTACCTTAAGTCACTGCTAAAACAGAGACAGGATACATTCTTGCACAAGAACTCACTTTTTTTTTTTCAAGCTAAAAATATAGATATACATTACAGTAAATTTGTGAGACAGTAACAAGTCCCACAGAAAATTCAAACATATTCAACATGCACTTCGTTAGGCCTATTTTAGGGGGTGCTGAAGCTACCCTAACATGGTCCTAAGTAATAATAAGAAAAATAATTATTTGATTTAGATTTTCATTTACTTATTTATTTTTTACAGTACCGATATGTACTCAACAAAGAGAAGCAAGAATATTGATAAATACAATAGAATAATACAAATATATAATTAGTATTTATTACCGGTATATCCTTTAATTTATTGACCAGATGGATATTGGAAGATATTTTAGGAGAAAGAGAGAAGCAGGAGATTAGCAGGGCAGCTGATTCTGAGGGAGCATTCTGAGGAGTGTGTAGTCAGTAGTGGTCTACATGTCTAAGGAAATGTGGGGTGTTTTGTTTTCTTCTAACAGACATTAGCTGGCAGGTCTAGGCACCAAGGCAGAGCCTAAACCAAATAATTTCATGATATTTATTATATTTGCTATATTCTGACTAACTTTACCTCCTGCATTCATTGGCTGTAATGAATTAAATAAATATGCAGATGTTTATATACATGAGCACACACACACACATTAAAATAAAATGAAAGCAATCCTACATACATGCATCCATACCTATAGTAATAGTTATTCCAAGGTATATTACCCATCAGGTTATTAAATTCAGACAGTAGTCACCCTAAACAGGGTCCTTATCAACAACTTACATGATAAAGTATTTATTGTATGCTTGTATGAAAGCCAAACTAAAGAATCTACAGTGCAGTAACAGTAATTAGTGTAATTAAATAGCATTTTTGGACCTGCAACTACAGAGAGGAATTAGATATGGTATTACTTTATCAAACATTTACATGATGACAGATAGCATTAGTCATAGCCTACAGAAGAACTCAGCAGGAGCACAGTCTGGCTTCTGTAAATTCCCCCCATGCAGCTTTGATGTGTCTAAAAGCTAACATTACAGTAACTTTTCTTAAACAGAAGAGAAATGGGAGAAGAATATATGTCTGTTGCTTTTTACCTGTTAACATCTTGGCTTCTTTACTGGTTGTTGACATAAGTGTAGTTCTAATACATTTGGATAAAAGCGTCAGCTAAATGAATAAATGTAAATGTGTAGAAACATGCCACTCAAGTGCATACATTAGAAGTAAATTGTACTGCAAGAAAAGCTCTACATCACTGAGAAGGATGGATGTCGCTGTGAACATAATATATTCAGCTTCATTAACCTTCACATATTTTAGATAACTCAACACTCACAACACTGGTCTCACAGCAACAGCTTTCAGAGAGAAACTATACTGTGTGATGATGGGCTATGTCAGGTTTGTATACCTACACTGAGAGAGGAAAAGATGTAAATAGTTTTTGAGACACATATGACAACTTGTGAAAATAAGTGTCAGTTTGTGCCTTTCTAGGTCAGGCATATGGACTTCTAACTTACCATTACATCACTTGTGATACGCATATTATATATGATATTCCATATGATATGATAGATTATTATATTTTCTTACTTTTCCCAGTGTGTTCTCTACTTCCCTCATGCTTGTCTTGAATATTCTTGTTATTATGTTAGCAAAGATGTGCTGAGCTTTCCCATGGCAACAGTCTAAAATACTAAAGGTGTGCTACCACCAATTTTATTCTTTGTAATAACACACAGCATTTTTGAAAATAAATTTTAAAAAGACCAGAGTGTGAGGTGGTAAAGCTACCACCAACTGCTGAGATGGGGGGACTTCTGACACAGGCTATAGTGCAACAGAAACTAGGATGAAATTGGTGTGCAACATTTAACAAAATTAAAAAAAAAAAAAAAAAAATCATTACTTTTAAAGAACTCAGTAATTCTCTTGTTTACTTATCAGTCTTAAAGGTTGAGGCTATGGTCATTGCCTCCCACGGAAACACAGCCTTCAGTGGTTTTCGTTTAATTTGAGAGGGTCAGTGACACAGTTGAGGGTATCCTGGCAGCGTGTTTACACTGCCATCCAATTTCCAATTCATGAGAAACTCTGTGCAGTCATATTGTGTGAGTGGGAGTGCTGCCTCTTTGAGTGCGATGAAAGAGTACAAAACAAGCCATAAGATATGAGATTGCAGTTGCTGGTCTTTTGATAGTCATTAAATGTGAAGGAAAGAGAGCATAAAAGCAGCTCGGGTTCCTCTCTTGTTGAGTTTTGCAGTACGTACTACATTTGCAAAGTTTCTCAGTCTAGCCTACATGTACAGTAATTATCATTCACATCTCTGCGTTCATGTCAATACTTTTTCTGCAGCACAATACTTAAATTGCCTTGTGTTCCATCCCACAACACCAGATATTTTATATTACATGTTGAAATATTCAGCGGCTAATTGGAATGATCCTCTTGAATATATATTTTTAGAACTTTATTGAAAAGAAAATCTGGTTTGACTTAGGTTGTTATTGTTAGAAAAAAACCCGATATGCCTCACCAGCTAAATCCCCCTAGAGAGCAGAAAGAAGAAAAACCGAAGGGATAAATATTTTGCATGCCATATATTCTCCCTTATCACTTCTGCACAGATGGCAAACAAAATTTAATCCCAAAAAATTGTCAATCCTCTCAAAAGCAAGAAAGCAGGTAGGGAAGGGGAGATGTGAGATTAGGAGGTGAAACTGTAACTGTAAGCAATGACGTGTCCGGACATTTTTTACTGGGGTGACCCAAGTGTGGCTCTAAC